TCATGCAGAGAGGGCAAAAGGATGTGGATTAATCTTTTTGGCATTCATCCCTCCCGCATGTGCTTCAGTACTGTTCGCAGTGATGCTCGCACCTCTTCTCATATCCTTTATCACAATTGTGACAATAAAATTTACTACCGGTGAACCCTGCCATTGAGGTGATAACATAATGATGCTCACCATCCTCGCCCTCTCGTCTCCAGAGATAAATCTTTATCCCTCTCTGGGGACTGCGATAAGAAATCTTGTTCCCGTCATGGAGGTTGATGATATTTATTTGGATTCTTAAATGGTCCTTAAACTGCCGAGCCTCCATGATTCCGCATTTTCCAAGGGGTACGCCTACGTCCTCGTGAAGATCTTGAGCTAGTTTCTTCTGCATAGGGCGTCGCGAGTCACAAATATATTTGGTTTGAGGGTTATTAGTGACTTTAGCATGCGCTACAACGATAAAACGAATACAATACGAATACGATAAAAAACGAGTATGGCCATACAGATTTCGTCCTCGTTTTTTATTTGGATGATTCTTTTTTTTACCCTGATGTCTTCATCCGGATTGATCATCCGAAATCCTGTGCCTCCTTGAGGATCGCGAACTAGCAAAAAATCCAAAGTGAATGATCCATCCAACTTCATTTCTTTATTGAACTGGATGTGCTTTGTGATCGTGGTCAGGATCAGTTCAGAACTCATATCCTGAACCCTGACTACTTGGGTGGATATGGCATGATCCATTCCGTCAGAGATTATTACTGCTCTGATAAAGTCTCTAGGTTGGACACGGTCAGTAACCTCTCTCAGAATTTTTCCGATTGAGAGGTAGAAGGATGCCATGATAGATGAGATGCCAGGGTGATCCTGAGAATTCGCTTTCGTCGAAGCGAGCTCGAAACACTCTCTGGAGTGCGTTAAATCGTTTGAAATTGTTATTTCCAATTTCTTCGAAATTGAATTCGATGATCGGGACCCGATCATCGTCAATATTATGTTCATCGTCTTCGCGTCGTCTTCTCTGAAAAATTTACAAATTTATTTTAATCCTCTCTGTTTCATCAAACAAGATCCTCATGAAAGTTCATGTTGGCTGACAATCCTATCGGTAAAGCCATTGATCAAGATGGTTTGTCCAATATCTGCAAAGCAATAAATGTCAATATGAATTAAAAGAGCTTCATGGGTATACACCATCTCGTCTTTGAGCTATTTCCTTGAAAAGTGTCTTTTTTTAAATCTATAATATATAGCAATCTATAAATATTTAAAAAAAATTATTGTTGAATGCAGTTGCAAAGTTAGGCAATTGAACTGCTTAACATATTGCCAGTACTTGCAGATCTCTCTGCTCCATGATTGATGAGAAAGGATCTATATTCAGACTTGTCTCATCAGATTAAAAGAACACGTGTCCAGATCATGATTATTGTGAAATAAAGGAGTGGATGACAGAAAGAGGAGACCCACCACATTGAATACAGTTCCTGGAAAGGGAAGAACTTCTCTCGGAAGTTCTGGTAAATCTTTCTTTGCCTGGAAAACTAATCTTGATGAAGAAAACTCTCTGCATATTGTTTCCAACTTGGTCATATTCCATGAGGATGATATAGATTAAATGCACGTAAACCTTGCAGTGTCGATAGCAGAAGTTACGCTAGGATACTTTGCAGACACAGACCTAGCTCCATTCATCTAATATATATAGACGATCGTGACTGACTGACTGACTGACTGACGCTNGACCCCATATGTCACGCATTTCAATGGGGACGTGCTTTAAATACGTGTTTCCCATTTCGCAAAAAATGAATTAATTAATCACTATCCAAGGTAAGGGAGCGCCGAAGGCGCGACCATAGCGAGTTTGTTTGCCCGAAGGGCAAACAAACTCGCTAGTAGAGCTATATTATTAGAGAACTAAATCACTTTATCTAATGCGCGGCTCTCATCATTTCTATTAGTCATTATAATGACCGATTCATCCTTTCAGATGGACATAAAATGAACTATGGAAGTTTCAAAGTGGGTCTAGACTGGGCCCATGATATTGGTTGGACGATTTCTCTGCAGTATGCATTATGTTTGACTTGATCTACTCAAAGATCAGGCCCAGCACAAGAGTTAAGTCTAGGAAGTACAATATATGAACTCAATCACACATACGGTTATAAGCTAAGCTGATTTTCCTTTTCAATGTGAAATAAGGACCCCAGGCAATATGAACTAGATGTTCACTGAAATCATATAATGCTGGAATACCAAAGGACAGCCAGTTTTATGATAGAGCTAGGCTATGACACACAGCATGAGAGTGGCAGAAGGCAGGAACTTTCCTGATGAGAATAGGTCTGACTGACATCGCCATTTAGCATTTTCGAAATATATATTTTATATCCTTTCTCGATATCAAGTGGCATTGACTCGTACATCTGATGGACATTTATTGAAAGTCCGAAGTACAGATAGACAACGATTTCATGCAAATTCAAAGGTATTTTCCCCTGAATATCCAAATATTTAAGAATATGAAGCTGCACTTTAATTTTTTAAATTTCCTTTAAATTCGCAAAAGACGTAGCATCGTATTTGAGGATTTAAAATATAAACATAATCATTTTTACTACTTTGGATATCGCAATTCAATAATGTTTCCATGAAAAGCTTGGGATGTATAGATGAATTTGCCAAAGCTGCCTTTTAAGGAAGAATCAAAGTCAGGTCACACTTGATTGTAAGCAGTCCTTCACAAAATCCATTTATTTCCAATGTTCTGATGAAGATATGAATGCCCGAGGGAAGTATGCACAAAAAATGAACTATTCTCACGTCTTCACCTTTTCCTTCTCACATCATTGGAATTGAAGTACCCTGTATAGAAGAGTTTCATGATTTTAGGCAATACTTCTCGAAACCAAAGAGAGTGATGAGCTATCAAAGCTGAACTCGAGAGCAACTGGAAGGATCGTTTGCCCATTTCCTAATGAATTGAATGGATCAATCGAATTCTCCATTCATCTAAATTCAATGAGATACAAATTCGTTCCTTCAATCAATGAAACGATACTTATTTTTCACCATAATCTTAATGTTTTGAATGTTGTTGTAAGCAATTTCATTCACTGGTAGTGGTTCTCCATGAATTTCATAAGGGATATGTTTCATTTAATGAAGTACGGTGGAACTTGTTTCTTATTCTGTTTGACACACTTACAGAAGTCATTATAATATTCCAGAATGATAGACTCAGGATACCAGTGCCAGCAGGAAATGAAACCATTTAGGTAAGAAGGTCGGAAAAACAAGGAGCCAATTACGTTCCTTTTGAGTGCTTCATAACGTGGATAATAGCAATAGGGTAGGAAAATTCTAAATCACGTAGTAATTAGCAAAGGAGACGCAAGGGCAAAATTACAAGAGCATTTGGCTGATGGTAGAAGAAAGCCAAAATCACCATCAGGATCTATGGCAAAATCACAAGGGCATTTGGCTGATGGTAGAAGAAAGCCAAAATCACCATAAGGATCCATAGCAAAATCACAAGGGCATTTGGTAGATGGAGGAATAAAGCAAAATGCATCGCCTGAGGAATCCAGGGCAACATGACAATAATATTTGGCTGATGGTGGAGGAAAGCCAAAATAATCATCAGGATCCACAGCAAAATCACAAAGGCATTTGGTAGATGGAGGAATAAAGCAAAATGCATCGCCTGAGGAATCCAGGGCAACATTACAAGAACATTTGGCTGATGGTGGAGGAAAGCCAAAATAATCATCAGGATCCATAGCAAAATCACAAGGGCATTTGGCAGATGGAAGAAGAAAGCAAAAGACATCGCCTGAGGAATCTGGGGCAACATTACAAGAGCATTTGGCTGATGGTGGAGGAAGGCGAAAATCATCATCAGGATCCATAGCAAAATCACAAGGGCATTTGGCAGATGGAGGAATGAAGCAAAATGCATCGCCTGAGGAATCCAGGGCAACATTACAAGAACATTTGGCTGATGGTGGAGGAAAGCCAAAATCATCATCAGGATCCATAGCAAAATCACAAGGGCATTTGGCTGATGGTGGAAGAAAGCGAAAACCATCCTCAGGATCCAGAACAAATAGTGGCCAAAGGGATCCATGTCAGGATCGACAAACCCCTGGAAGAAAAATTGTCTCTATCAAACGAATAGTGGCTACCATTACTTGTTGAACCTATGCAGGTTATCTAAATCTCATATGAACACTAAAAACATCTGTAATTTAAAATAATACAGAAATGATTGTCACCACTCCCCTGAAGCAAGAGAAACAAGACATTTGATGCAGGAATGGCCTCTGAATTAATATATCATTCATGAATTCGCACAAAATATTGCGGTGAAGGCAACTTCATTGATTGAACTGATCCATGAGAGACTGGGGTAAAGTGAATGATAGGTTGGAGACATTGAAACATTAGGCATTAACAGCGCGATAGACATGCAGAAATCTTAACATGACAGTAGGGAATTCAATCTCATCGGTAATGTTATCCAAAATAACTGGCATTAAACCGGAATATACTTTTAAATAATGGTTTACCTTGTCTTTCACGATTTTTCCAATTAATCCAAGCAAAGCCTGGACAGATTGTGGGCCTGAGACTGCCACCATCGTGCCCATAGTTGGGAAGTCTCCAACAGGGACACCCTGCAGCCCCACCACCTTCTGGAGATCTTCATTGCTCTTGCCTGGGAAATCAAAGCGGTGAAACTTAGTCTTCAATGCAGATGGAATCTATAGGAAACCCGAATAATTTTATGCCAATTTTTCGCTAGAAAATATAACATCAATGTTGAGCCTCTTAAGCGATAGGTAGCAGATCTTGTGAAGCCTTCCTTCAATACAATAGATTGCATCCTGTCTCCCTCAGGAATGATGAAAATGTTGGCAAGTACGGCTAAGAAGTACGGCTCAGCCCAGCCCAGCAATACCTAAATGTCCCCAATCTCCACACCAGAATAGAACTTCTAGATGTTTGTCAATGCAATCCTAGAAAGTGAGGCTACTGGCATCTTTGCCATGGGTGGAAGAGCAATCGACCATTCAGCCGGAGTTGAGCTTAAATTCAACTTGTGAAGACTTGTGGGCCACATTTTAACTTCCTTTGCAATGCGCAGCCTTTCATGCATTTGATCATACAGATTCATGCAACATGTAATGTCAGCCTAGGTTATGGAATCAACCATCCGTTATATCTAAGTCCTATTAGGCTTTTCACCGTTTCACCATCTGTGAACTTACCCCAGACTGCATAATCTTCCATTATTGCCTTGAATTCGGCATGGTGCGATGATTCCTGGATCAACTTGTTCATGTCGGACTTCATGGTCTAACTTTGATTAGAAACTCGGAATAAGTAGCACGAAAAAAAAAGAATAGTAATGCTAAAATGCTTAGGCCTAAGGTCTAAAGTTGGCATAACCACACCACCTCTCGATGAAGAAGCCAAAAGCACTGCGTCACAAGTCAATGTAAGGTGGCCATCATGAATTATGCTTCGAGAATGTTCTAACCAATGAGATTGGGGCTGATCCCGCGTAAAGTGTTGCCGGGTTTTCCTTTCGATCGGGTGCGCCATTAAATCTACATGCATCGTATACTTATTTTAAAAAGATATTGCAACCCTCTCTTGGACAAATCTGTCAAGAGACAGAGAGACAGGGTCTTGCGTTAAGAAGCCACTCAGGACAGCAGCAATAAAAGTCGTTCAAATCAGTCAGTGGTGAGGCCTAGCATAAACCTCACGCTATACATAGTAACGGCTGCCATTACAATCGGAAATCCGATTTATGTATGGTTATATTTTGAGCATGTTGGCTAATGCAGCGATTCATTCGTGAAGCAAGTCAATCTTTTTATACAAGTCGCCGGCTGGTAGCCGCCATTCAACGAAAGTCATCCTCCGGTTGGTGGAGGCAGTAATGCGAACGGCCTGGATCGGCCAGGCTCTTCCTTCTCCCTCCCTCTCTCTCTCCTCCACAAGCGGGAGTTTTTTCACGAGATTGCGACATCTACGGGATTGTCGAGTGAGTCTTAGTCTTAGATCGATGCAAAAGATGGAAGGTGTCAGGGACCAGAAGTCACGAGGGAAATTATTTGTTTTTTCCTTACCATCGCCAGTTCCCCAATGGTCACGAGAACGGCGTCAAGCGAATGAGGCGAGATGGTCCGATAAATAGCAAGGGAACGAGGAAGAAACACAGTTCACGGACGAAATGGCTATCATTTCCACACCTTGGACTTCAAACGGGAGTCCAAAACACTGCTCGCGAGCATGTCGGCTCTCGAAGCACAGTCACTGGGCACGGATCAATGACGGACAGGGTGTGGCCGGACGTGGCTGGATGTGGCTGTGAATCCGGCTGACTATTCATCGCTGCACCCGTCCACCACATTCTCCCGGCTGACATTTCCAGTTCTCCAATAAAACCTTCAAATAAGCGGGGGAAAAAACGATTATACAAATAGGTCGTTGTTGAGACTCAGAAGTATGGAGGACGCGACCGATAAAAAAAATTAATATTAATTATTGGCGAAACGGCACAGAACAAAAAACGACAGGGTCCTTGCTGGACTCCATCGAACTGGCTCTGATTCCATTGCTCGCATGCGCCATGAGGGCAGCAGTATGGAAACGTTAGTATCGACGGCAGGAAGCGCGCGATAGATAAACGCCTGTAAAACGGCATCATTACTGGGAAATTTATCAGCTAAGCCGAAGGTCTCCGGTGATTCGGCTCAAGGGAGGGGAAAACCACGCTGGAAAAAGTTCCTTTGGTTAATGAAAGGGAGATGAACTTTTCCGAATGGATTTCAGTTCGCCTGGGGCCTATTCATTTTTTTTGCGATTCCAGCAGATGCGAACCGAAACGATCCATCTCTTTCGAGTGAACCAAACCCAAGCCAGATTTCCTGAAAAATCTCGAAGAATATGCATACCTAATCAGAACCGAAATGTTATCGTTCCGTAGGTATTTTTCTCCTTATTTCCTACACATACTTTTAAACATTGTTCCTTTAATATTTTCGGCTAAATATTATAACCATAATTGACTGAATCGAGCCTGTCTCACTGCGAATCCTCCCAACCTTCAAATCTCACCGTACCGACGACATGTTCTCAACAAGCAGCAAAGGTTCCCTATAGCGCGTGTTCCAAATCCTCCACTCAGAAGATGCCTTCTCCCAAGCATCACACTGTATACGGCCAATGGAACGCGAGAGCGGAGAGGATGCTGAAGAGTTGGACGGGGGGGGGGTATGCTCCCGAGAGGATCGCCTGCGTGCGAATGAGCTGACTGTTGAGCGAACTGCCTACGAGAGGGAGGAGAGGGGCGGTGCTTGGGTCGCTTGCGTGTTCAACGGTGGGTCGAACTTACTCCGATCCAGCCGATATTCGCGAGTCGATAGATACCGAGTGGAATGTGCTTGCGCTGGCCCTTCACATTTTGAGACCCGACATCGGTGAGCCAGCACCTTTAGGTCCCCGCATTGAGCGGGATTTTGATATGCAGTTACCATAGTAACGGCGTAAACTACAATGTAGTATTCAATAATTCAGTGATTGGCTGGACGTTAAATATAGTTTTTCGAATGGTTCTCTTACATTTTCCCTCTTAAGGTGCATATATTAAACAAAAATTGACCCCCTGGATCTCTGCTGATCTCACTGAAGGCTTGCACCTCCTGCATCGTCTGCATCGTACCAAGCATAATTTTAGACCTGGCCTGATTCTTTTACCTGGACCCTCAAATAAAAAGTGATGCCAAATTCTCGATCGTGCTATCACGTGTCCGAGATGGGGAACGGACTTTGCGAAAATCTCGTTTCCCTCCCCAAATAAACGTTTCCCCAAACGGCAGGGACAGGTCTAAGTTAAGTCATATATTGACAATGCGTAACTAATGTTTCGTGGCTTCGATAGACCTAACGTTATGCCATACCAGAGGACATTGAAGGCCGCTTGATCCTAGCTCCCCAAAGCGGCTTAACTTTACAATTGGTACTCACACTCCTAGGGCAAAGTGAATATAAGATCCACGTATATATTAATATGGAAAAACTAGCACTTTATTTTTCTAAGCGGCGCAAGCACGCCGTTTTGCACAATAAGCGTTGGAAACCCTTGACGCATAAGAGGCCTTGGCAACCCGGAGCGGCCATGTCGCACGCCCCGCCCAGATCCCTGCGTCTGCTAGGATGACCCGGGCATGCGCACTGTAATCAGGTCTGGAGTTGGTCCTCTCGGACTGACCTGAGTCATATTGTTTGGGTTGGGTTTTCCAACGTACCTCCAGCCTAGTCTTCCTCATTCTAGTGAGACCCATCAGCGCACCGGCAATGTTCTTGGCCCTCGATGATTCCTTTCCCGGTTCGGTGTCAAGGGCCAAAGAGAGAAAGTCGGTAGTAGGTTCACTTTCTCTCTTTCGGCCCAACGAAGAAAGAATGTGGCTCCCTCGGAATGTATTTAGAGTTAGTTTTAAGCGGTGCGCTTAAGTTTAGTGAAAACCCACAAAAGCTGATGGAACGTTAGTCTGAGTCTCTAACTTCGAAGTGATTACAATACTCAGTGTGTGAATACAAAAGCAGCATTGGCACCTACTGATACAACAAAAACGGGCGCTCCTGGCCTCCACTCAACATGGCTGCTTCCGTCTCCCGTATTTTCCATAGAGAATAATGTAGATATTTGAAGACCTTTAACTTTTTTTAACTTTTTTTTCATTCAAAGCGACTGGGTATCTCATGCATTAATGGCCTCAGGGAACCCTTTAAGACCCATCCCAGATAACTCCGAAAAAGTCTGAGGTGGAGTACCAATTGTAAAGGTGCTCCCTTCCGGCTCCCCTAAGGGTTAGAATCCTGCAGATGAAGTTCTGAAGGTCATGGATTGAAGAATGAAATTCCATGAGGAATCCTGTGAGTCATGATACCAATTTCAACTGTTACTCGTCTATGTAACCTATGCCACTGTCAAGCAAATGTGCCAGGGGAAGGAGCAAGATCCGTCCTTTCTGCTGGACGCATTGTCAACTTCTCGTACGCTATAATTCAGAGCTAAAGGGGAAAGGTGTATGATCGAACGAACAACCTTCACTTCGTGATGACATGACTCAATATTTTCAGGTACAGATTCCCGATTCAGGAGACTGATATGATGACACCCCCAACTTGCTTGTGGAGGACCTGCTGCTTCTTGCCTTCAGAGGAGGCATTCTGAGGGTCAACTCTATCAGGCTTCAGGATAAACTTCAAATTCACCTCAAAGTTCTGGCAGGTTTACTTTGGCGGGAAAAAAATGGTAACATGATACTGAAGTTTTTTTTTTAAGTTTTAGCATTATACATCTTGCCGATAGCTATTTTCCCTTGACTGGGGCATTCATACCAATTATTCATGCAATTTATAACAATTCATAGTTGCCCTTATTTCCATGTTTTACTTCCAAAATGGGAGAAGAACATGTAGGTCTCAAAAATTCTTGCAATGAGATGGGAACCATACTGAAGGTTAGTTTTTATCCTTGTAAATACCCTTGGGTAATTTTTTTTCTGACTACTCCTGCTCAATATTATATTCCAAGGAAATTCTATTTGTTGTCCCTCAGGTCAGTATACAGTTGGAAGGCATAGCAGTACTATAGTAAATGGTAATTAGTTTGCACAAATTGGTGTACATTTTCATATATTAATCATCCCTTGACCAGATCCATGCATAAAGCATTGAAGCATTTGCATAGCTTATCAGCCATTTTGCATTACAGCTACTGTATTATAACTTACAAGTAATATTTTCCTGTCACGCTATCTGCTTATAAGCTTCAGACATTGGAAACCTTAGGATCCTCAAACACCCATAAAATGAAATAGAAAATGGAGACATATTCCTTTTGGTCATCTTGTAGCTCTAGGTTTAGGAAGTGGAAAGGAAGCTTTTGAGGATGAATTTTGGAGTCCTCTACCTTCCTTTTTCTTTTGTGCTGGTTAAGATGTAGCATTTCACCTACATTTGCTGAGGCATGGCCACTTTTACACATTTCTCATTCAAATTTATTCTCCTGCTTTCTTTATACAAATTTGAAAGTCTTATTTCCAGTACTATTTCCATAGTTAATATATATGTTCATGTGTTTCTTTACACATTGGATGAAGTAGAAAGTTCTTAGGCTTCAGCAAAGGACATCCAGTTGGCAGCAAAGAAGAGTAGTGATTGAAGAAAACATTCCAAAAGTTGACTGTGGAGGAACCAATGATGAGTCTGTCATGAGTGGTGCTGTACAAAGCAGTTGTTTTCTTCAACACTTGATGTGAATACTCTTTTTAGGGCATTTACATGATGTTGCCCCTCCTTTTGGGAACTAATTTTCTTCATTTTTTGAAGATTTTTCAATGCTTCTTAATAGACTCACATATGATTACATTATATTTTCATGGTTACTAATCACTATTTACTTCTTCAGAGTAGTTTGAAGAGTTCAGAGGCTTTCCTGGTCCCACAATCTCTTTGACTAATGTGGCATTATATTTATTGGTTCATGAAATCAGCGTATCAGATTCTCATTTAAACTGTACACTATAACATGGCTAAGATCC